TGGTTAACAATGTCTAGTCTTGACAATGGGGAGAAAATGATAAATGTTATAGATTAAATTGTGTCTCCCAAAATGATGTATTAATGTCCTAATTGTCAGTATCTATGAATGTGATCCTATTTGGAACAGGGTTTTGCAGATATAACCAAGTTAAAATGAGGACACAATCAATGAGGCATGTGACAGTACTCTAGTCAGGTCCTATAAGAAAAAAAAAAACAGAGATGCAGGTAGGCAAGTGCCATGTTAAGACAAGAGACACCCAAGGAGATGCCCACATGACAAGGTGGCAGAGATTGCAGCAATATATCTATAAGTCATAGAGGGCCAATGACCACCAGGAGCTGGAAGAGACAGAGAAAATCCTGGAAGCTTCTGAGGCACTGTGACTCTCTCAACACTTGAATTTCAGGTTATGAGCCTCTAGAATTGCGAGAAGAAACATTTCTGGTGTTTTTAAGCTACCAATCTAGGTACTTTGCACAGTACTCCTAGAAGCTCTACACATTTATTGGACAATGATCTAAGTAATTTACACATATAAACTCATAAAATCTTCACAGTAACCCTACAGAGAGGTCTTCTTGTGGGAATCTCAATCCCAAAAGCAGTACAGGTGACCAGGACTGTGATCTCATGGTAGCACCCTGGAGGCCCAAGAGATCTCTCATTTGTTCAAAACTGTTCCCACCAACCAAAGAGGGGCCAGTTCAACTCTGCCTGCATTTATGGAAGCTACCTCACTTTCATTCTAATCTCTTTTACATGTAAATTGATCATTTATCTATGTCAATAGATGCAAAAATAAACTGCAAGCATCAATTCCTGCAAGGGTATTTGAAATTGATTCTTGAGCTCAGCTGGGACACAAAACAGTAAGACTCTTGTTGATATTCTAAGTATGTACTAGGCAAATACTGTGCACAGTACCAAATAATTCGTTATCACCACTAATCACCTAGGGTCCTGCCCACTGCAGGTGAAACTCCAGTGGACCAGGTAGCTGCTTGCACAGCCCAAGGGCAAATGCCAAACCCTATGTAAGATGGCTTTTTATAAAAGTACCAGATAATGTAAAATAAGTAAATAATAAATTTGAACCTCAAATCTTCATCTTAAGGCAAAGAATAAGTCAGGGACACTGGAACCCTACAGAAAGAATTTCTTACCAATTTTCAGGGTACTTAGAAACTAAGAATCTATTCAGAGATACATTCTTTGGGTTTTAGATCACAGTAACGTGACTTAACAAATCTCTTCAGGTTTTTAAGTAAAAGTAATGACACTGTTCAGAAAGAATCAGACTACACTGTTATAATGGAGTTACTATGGGAATCTAGAAAGCAGATACATGTTGGCATACATCTGTAATCCAAGAATGCAGGAGAGACGGAAGCAGGAGAATCACAAATTCAAGGATAGCCTAGTCCACATAGAGGGTTTAAGGCCAGCCTGAACTAGAGTAGTTCAACCAAAAAAGTCTAGAAAACTTGAACACCAAATTTTTCTCAAAAAACCAAAAAAGGCTAGAAAATTTGAAGACCAAATTTTTCTAAAATGCTCCCATTGAGCTTCCTTATATCCTGTCATTCCCTAAACCCCACTGTACCTTATTAAATCACCAAGATTTGACTCCAGTACAGCCCTACCTTCATAAATAAGAGGAAGTCAAGACAGCCAAGGCTACCTGGTAACAAACCTCAAGAAGCACAATGTGTATGCATGACTTTGCTACTGGAGGGACTATTACAGTAACCACACTCATTAGTTAACTAATATGGAATTCCTCAAAAAGTAAATGGCCAGGAAGCCAATAAAAAGCCATTTGTAAAAAGCCAATTGTAAGAAAGCACTACCATGTGTCTATCACATTTGTTAAGGCCTTTTTTTCTTTGAAGTCTATAACCATAAATATTTCATGTCAATGACAAAGAAGACTAACCTCAGTGGCCAGACCAGACAGTCCTGGCTTCTACCTGTTCCCATACATATGCCAGGGTACAGACTCAGAACCTAGGTCACAGTGGTCACGCTATGCATGCCTGCTATATGGGGAGTCATGTTCCAGGTGGACTCAAGAAAGGAAATGCCCAAGCTTTGCAAGAATGCTGAATATTGGGCTCTGGTGTACTAGTTCTAGACTCCAGAAAGACACTGTTATTCTGAATTATGGAGGCCTAGTAACACATGAAAAATTCAACAAATGAATTTTTAACACAGTTCACCCAATGAGAGAGCAAAACCAATGTATTCTTTTTTTCTCTCAAATTATGAAAGTTTAGAGCACCTACTTGGTTTCTCAAATTTGTACATTTAAGGAATATGATATTGGGAGAGACACACAAAACTAAGTTCTCCTACCAAGGAGAATATCAAAATCAGTATCACTACCATGCCAGATTTTGGATGCCTGCCCTATTGATTGTGCCCAAAGCAGGCTGTAAGCAGTACAGGCTGTAAAGCATTAGCCTCCCCCAATTGGCTTGTTTATAGAAGTGAGTCTGGCAAAGACTCACATACAAGAGGTTGGAGTGACTCCTTCCCAAATTCCATTCCCACAGTTAAAACCTTCTTTACTAAAAATACAAGTTTAATTATTAACCACAACCTATATTTTATCTACTCTGTTCCTAATTCAAGAATTCTCTGTCTTAACTTACAATTTGGGAAAAAATTTTACCAGCTGCTCCTCAGAAAAAGGATTATTATCTAGAATATATAAAGAACTCAAAAAATCAGGCCCCCCAAATATAAAGACCCAATTCAAAAATGGGTATCTGAAATAAACAGACATTTCTCAGACAAAGAAAAGCAGCAAATTAAATATATGAAAAAATGTTCAACATCACTGGCCATTCGAGAGATGCAGATAAAAGCAACACTGAGATTCCACCTCACCCCACAAAGAATGGCAGATATCAAGATATCAACCAATAACAAATGTTGGCAGGGTTGTGGGGAGAAAGGAACCCTTCTCCATTGTTGGTGGGAGTGCAGACTGGTGCAACCACTGTGGAAATCAATATGGAGATACCTCAAACAACTAGGACTAGAGGTTCCATTTGACCCAGTTATCCCTCTGCTGGATATCTTTCCAAAAGAATTAAAAGAATCATACTACAGTGATATATGCACTCTCATGTTTATAGTGCCGCAGTTTGTAATAGCTAAAACTTGGAAACAGCCCATTTGCCCATCTGTTGGAAACTGGATAAAGAAGATGTGGTTTTTCTATAAAATGGAATACTACTCAGCCACAAAAATGAGGAATTAGAGTCATTTATAGGAAAATGGATACATACTGAGGCCAAACTCTTAAGTGAAATAAGTAAGACACACGTGTAAATACCAAATAGTTTCTCTGGTGTGAAAAACTAAAAGTGTAAATAAGATCCAAATTGTATAACTGATAATGTGAAATAGGAAGAAAAGGGCTAAAGGTATACAGGGAAGTGGGAAGGGTAGGGGAAAGGAAATAAGGGACAAGAAAAATATGAGAAAAGGAAAAAATGGAAACAAATTATTTGTGCATAAGTGAAGGGAGGGCAGGGGTACGGGGAAAAAATGAGAACCAAGATCTGTCATGTAAAGGTACAAGATCCCAATGATGAATATAATTGTACTGTATACTTAAAAAGTACCCATAAACTCAATAAAAAAGAAATAAAAGAATGCTCTGTCTTTTTCTTTACAAGCCTTGCTGCATTAGCAACATATCCATAGTAACTTCACATGGTCCCTTTATGTCACCAATAAATATCAGTGGCTCTGGATGCCCAGGGCCTTTGCTTGCTGAAGTCTCTGACTGACTGCTCAAGCACTGGCCATCCTCGCTGCCCATATCTGTCTCTTTAACTCTGTCTATGTTTTTCTTCTCATCTTGCCTTGTAGCAACAAGCAGGAGATCAGGATCTACTCCAATATCCAAAATTCAACATCGAAAACAAACATGCCATTGTGGTGATTACTAGAACACCTCTATTTAATAACCAAATTTAGCTCAGTGGCACTGCCACCTGCCTTGAAAGTGCAAGGCCCTGAGTTCGATCCCCAGTACCAAAAATAAAAAAATAAATAACCAAATTTGTCAATATTAAAGCCTAATGGATCATATAGAGTTAATCAGGATACCTGCAATCTCTCCATTTGTATTCATTCTTACCTTCTTGCTTTCTGTCAGAGTGAAAAAGAAGTTTCCACCTGTTCAAATCAGTTAACTCTTCCATCTGCCTATCTGATCCCATCACTGACTGTCTTCCCAGGATCCTTGTTTGGTCAGTCATAACCTCCATTCTACATACTGACCTTACACTGTCCCCAAGTCATCATCCCTTCACAGCTAAGTTTATTTAGAGAGCCTTAAATGGTCTCCCCATCTCCCACTCAGTCTCACTTTCTCCAAATCTAGATCTTATTACCATAGTGACCCTCATCAGGGATGGTAATGAACCACTTACTGCTAAATGGCAGAGACATTTGTCAGTCCTCTTGTCATTAAACCTTGCCTCCCAGACACTGGCCCAACTGGTCCACCTGCCTCTGCCAACTTGGTCAGAATTGCTTATGACCAATTTTCTCATATATCCCCTTTAATGACTGTATTCTCCAGGTTACAATCCTACACTTCCCTCCCTCTTATTCCAACTTCTCTCCCTGTGTACTTTCACCCATTCTCAGGGATTCAAATACAAACAGCACAGCCCTCACTCCAAATCTCTATCTCTACTCTGTGTACTGGGGATTTCTATCTCAAACAGAACATAACCAAAACTGCTCCTATTGACCTACCATAGCATAAGAGTGACAATAATATCTCTCAAATTTTAGAGTACCACCATTCAACTTTAGAAATTCTCAAAATGTAGCCAGGTGTGATGGTACATGCCTCTAATCCCAGCACTCAGGAGGCTGATGCAGGAGGATCACCATGGGCTCCACGACAAGCTGAAATACACAGTGAGTTCAAGGTTGTCCTGAAATACATAGCAAGACCCTGGCTCAAAAAAAAAGAGAGAGAACAAATTAAATTAAGTAATTAAGTAATTAATTTTCAAAATGTGAATACCTGACCCCTATCACTGCTCTCACATGCAGGGGATTGAACTCAGGTCCTTGCACTTGCAAGGCAAGCAGTGGCACCACTGAGCTAAATCCCTGGTGAGAATACAATCTTATAAGATCTCCTATGTTTGTAATAGACAATCTTCATATGTGAAAAACACTCCAGCATACTAAGAATAATGATCAATGTTTTTAATCTATGTGGCACACACATAAGTAACAATGCTTTTACATATTGCTTGGGAAAACAGAGGAAGCTGTTCACATCTGGCCACAAGTGAGGGGCTGGGGGACAATATCTCAGCATACTGGTAACCCACTGGTGGCACTGCAGTAAGAAAACCTAATAGAAATAGATGAGCAATGGCAGGTTATAAAATCAACAAATGCAGTTTCCAACCAGGGCAGGCTACAGACAATTTGGGCAGTAGTAGGTTTGCAGGTGTCCTCTCCAGCAGGTACTTCTATGGTGCAACTCTTCTGTGGCCAAACACTGTGGGAATGAATCATACCTCTAATAGCTGGCAGAGACAGGTTGGATGATCCTTGAGGAATCTTCCAAAGACATCCTCTGAACCTAGGCCTTCCCAACCCCATACTGTGTGAGGCAGGGCCCCGATTCTCCTCAGAAATAATTGACATGGTACCAAGTGCCAGTTAGGATATTGAGAGACATTGGCTCTTCTTTGCCAGTATAATTTTCCCTTTTCACTTTTTCCCCAGATCCTACTGTTTTAACTAAAGAGAAAAAGAATAAAGAAAAGTGTAAGAGGGCAATATGTATAACAATGAACAAAAAAAAGTATAAAAAGCCTTTTTCTAAGAAGCCAATGATTATCTGGATTACAAAATAAAAGTTCATGACTATAAATAATTTAAACCACATACAGTAATAACTTACAAACAAGTGTCATTCCAGGATAATTGTTCATAAGTGAGATTTGTTTGTAAGCCCACAAAGTGAGTCTCTTTTTTTTCAAAGTGAGTTTTATACAGTACACCTGTGAAAGTTTGCAGCTTGAATGTTTCTAAGTTGAGGACTTCCTGGTATGAATTTCATGTCAATGATCTATAACTAAGCATTTATAAAGGCTACTTAAAACATGAAGATGCGTAGAAGAGTAAATAATATAAGAATAGGACAGGAGTGGCTTCAGTATGATAATGATGGCAGTGATTTGACAATTGTTTTCTCCCACAAACATAGCTAGCATAATTTCACTATGACATGAACAGTTTTCATATGTAATTTTAAAAGGACATCATTTTTCATGTAAATTTCTAAGTTGAGCATGGTGACACACTCATAATCCCAGGACTTGGAAGGCTGAGGTAGCTCTAGGCCAGTCAGGGGTACAGAGTGAGTTTGACACCAGTCTGGAACAAATGAGATTCTGACTTAAATGAATGAATGGAATGAATGTTGTGATTGTGATAGCTTAATTAAGTTCTATAAAGTACATATTTAATAAGGCAAGTTGTTTTTGCTATTTTCAAAGCTCTGCTCCAAGATACATGGTCCTGTAGGTCAGAATACAGATCAGTAATAGAATACTTGCTTAGTATGCATAAGGTCCTGCAGCACTAAAAAAACAAACAGAAAATTGTATGGCCAGAAGTTGCTTACCTTGTCCACTACCCCTATTGTCAATATCAGTCAAACACAAACAACCTTAATCAAATTCTTCTTTTTCTCTCTGAACAGTAGAGCACCAATCAGGGATTTAAGTAAAGACATTTCCTTTCACTCAAATTCATTCTTAATGAAAATCTAATTCACATTATGAATTAATTATCTCTTATGGCACAGAATATTTGTATAGTTTTGGGGTTTTGGGTTTTTTTTTTTGGTACTGGGGATCAAACTCAGGACTTTGCATTTATGAGGCAGGCATGGTGCCACTGAGCTAAATCCCCAGCCCAAATTTTGATACATTTGAGATTAACATTTCTGTATTAACTTTTTTATACACATATGAAATTTGCACACATATATTTTGTACACATATATGAAATCACAAATCCAAATGGATACAAAAATGAAGCAGAGATTTTTCAATACTAGGCTAAAAGGTTATACATTTATGTTAGGCTACTACTACCTCCTGGGACATTTAGGAAAGAATTATACAAAGAAAAATTTTAAATATTCTTTCAAAGACCAAGATTCAAATTCTTGAGCACCCAGTTCTTAGCAAAATACCTAACTTCCTTTCAATCTGAACTCCAGCATTTTCTGTTACAGGTGTCTCAAAAGATCCAGTGAAATCAAAGGAATCATATAACTAATGGGGAAACAAGAAAATCATAAGTACTCAAAAAGCACTCACGTCATTCTGATCCAAAAAAAGGTAAGATAGAAGAAAATTCACACCAAAAGAGCCAGAAACACTAGTTTCTTTATCTGATGTCTTTATAAGGTTAATTCTTTTACATAAAAATTAACTGCCAGACTAACAGGCCAAAAAACATAAAAAATATAAGATAATTATACTAAATCAAGGTATTACTTTTAAATAAATTGTCCATACTGAATTACAATAACTTTTTTCTTTTTCCTCTTGTCTTTGTTTGTTTGCAAACTTTTTTTGTTTTTCATTTGGGCGGGGGGTACCAGGGATTAAACTTGGGAGCTTGTGCTTGCAAGGCAGGCAACAGAACCGCTGAGCTAAAACCCTGGCCCTTTTCCTCTTGTCTTTTATTTTGCACTTTGTATATAGTTTCTCATATAACAGAAACCATGTGCTATATAAATTTGTGTGTCTGATTTACTTCACTTGTTAAGGAAGGAATCAGTAAGCAACACACACAGAGGCAGCAGAATGGAAGTAAAATAATAAATGTACTCCTCCATGAGGGTCAAACACTCATAAGCAGTGCCTAGATCAACAACTCACTGGCTTACAATTCCTCCTTTTATAGAGTTTCACAGCCTTGACTTGGTTTGGGTGGTTACATTTCATTCTCATAGTGCACATCATAGTCACAGGATAGTTAACTTTCAACCCAGATGTAATAATTCCTTGTAGTAGGGAAGTTTACCTTTAAGATTTGCCTAGTTATCTATCCTAGCCCATAGGAAGGGGTTTTCAGGGTCAGGGTAGCAAATGTTAGCCATGGTCCTTTTCATCTTGACACTTTTTATGATCATGTGGCTCCAGTCTCTTCAGAGCTCAAGGTCTTGTTATCTTAGGGTAAGACCAAATGCCTCATTTGGCAATTAGTGCCTTTGGTGCCTGTTCTGAGCTAAACAAAACAAGTTAGAGATAGCAGAAGCCATTTTACACTGTGACACTTTATAGGTTTTTGTTATCTATAATAGTCTTCTCTATCACACTTAGTATTATGATCTCAAGATATAACATGATGTTGTTGTTCATACTTGGAACTCGTCTTTCTCCACATTGTCCTGGTGTTACATCAAATCTCCGGAATCAGATCTTCTAGTCCAGGGAAGATGGCAAATCCATGCTGAAATAGAAGGATACTGCTTTCAAAGGAAGCATTACAAGGACACAGTGCTGAGGGGTTCTCAATAACAGACACAAAAGTCAAAAGAGCAGAGGACATGGCCCTGGATTCATGCCCACCTTACAGTTCTCTGACCTTAGATGACCTGTTTCTGTCTCCCAACTGTTCTGGCTGTGAGAGAATGAAATGGCCTAACACACACAACTGCTTATCTAGTGACCACCCATAGACTCATTCAATGTCAAGTGAATGTCAGTGAGAAGCTAGTAGCAGATATGTAGTAGTGGTGGTAGGACTGTAGATTGAACCCAGGGCCTGGGTTCTGAGCAAAACAAAATTACAGATGCCAATTTGGCTTCTGGACTACAAATTTAAATGATTCATCTAAATGACTGGCAGCAATATCTATGGGTTTGTGTGGTGCTGGGTATCGAACAAAGGGCTTGCACATGATAAGCATGGCTCTACCTCTGAAATAGAGCCCTGTCCTCTGACAGGAAACTTTAATGAAAATGGTATCAATTGGCAGAAATGTTTTATAATAATCTCCTGTTTCAATAACCTTCAAAAACTTTACGAGGTCTGGGACTAGAACTCAATGCTACAGCATATATACAAGAATAGAAAAATGGAGCTGGTAGGCAGGGAACGAAAAAATAATAAGGGCTTTGTTAAAGATAATTGGAGAGGTAGTCACCTCTACCTGGCTGAGAAGCTGGGAATGGGTCCCTAGATGCCGCCTCTCTTCCTTGATTGTAGCCCTGCTGCTGCCTGATTGGTAGATTCGTGTGTCCTTTTTAATAATTGAATAATGATGAAAATGGATCCAAAACATTAAGTTACTTCTCCACCAAAGCAGGAGAAGATTCTTCACACCACCTTTCAGTGGCTCAGTGCAGTTTTTGGAAAGGAGAAGAAAAGTGAAATACTGAAAACTGAAGCGAAGAAAACCTCATTTTGGAACTATCTTTCTCCTTGACTATCCCTCACTCCCTGTCTTTCTACTTGTTTTAATTTGCTGCATTTATAAATAGTGAAGACTAAAGAAATAGAACATATATTTAAGAGCTATATACCAAGAAATTTCCCCTGAAAGCTGCTATTCTGTAGAGGAAAAGTTTATCAAATTCCTGACTGGTTCTTTTTTTAAAGCAAGGTTTCTTAGGTCCTTAGATTTTAAAGGTTAAGATAACTACATACACATACATCTGCACGCTATTTTTGGCAGTTGTGTAAAAATAATGACATTTGTGTTTTGAGGGCTTTGTCATGTGGTGAGTTTACCACTGGAGTTGACTGCTCCAAAGATTTTTTATTGTTTTAATATTTTTGATCACCTTGACCATTACTTACCTGAACATCGAGCTACCTGTCTTCCTATGACCTGCTAATGAATAGTGTTTGTCTTCACTGTGCCAATGTCCATGTATTACCTATTTGAGCAACATTACATTGCTGTTACTCAAGGAAGTTGAATGAGGTGAACACAGACATAGCCTTTCCCCTTATCCCTCTTTTTAAATGTAACAAATACTTTTATGTTCCTCTTCTCCCTTTTGGAAACATGTCTGGAACTAAGTAGTTGAGAATGAGCAACTGAAGGGAATAAGAAAGTGAGCCACAAGAAGCTGGGCTTCTTTGTGCTTCATCACAAGGTGTGCTGCTGGCCAGGTTATTTAAGCTCCCTTTTAACAAGAAAATCTCTCTGGTGATCCTTCTGGTAACCTCAAGGAGTTCGGAAAACAGGACGACAGAGGTTACACTGTGGAATCCTGGCCATGAGGTTGAATGCCTCACCTTGCTGAAAAGAGACACTGGACCTAAACGGCGCAGCATGGATTTGCTCCTGCTTGGCTAAATTTCTCAACACCACAGTCAGCTAAGTCACCTACAACAACATTGGAAAAACATGGAGACCCCCTCCCTGAGGAGAAGGTAGATTTGGAGTAAGCCATCATAGACACAATTCCTCTGATGGCTTTTTTAACAATGGACCTTTATGAACTACAGGAGATTCCTGGCACCAACCCTCCCTGTTCCCCCATGATTCTGTGGACTCTGGTGTCTCTAAGGGAACATATGCTGGAATCACAGGGAATTTACCTGGTTGGCACAGCTCTTCTAGGTGTCATGATGGCATGAGCCAGCATAGTGGAGGTGGCACAGGGAACCACTGACACTGGAATGGCAGCTTCCACTCCCGAAAAGGCTGTGCCTTTCAGGAAAAGCCACCTACAGAGGTTAGGGAAGAAAAAAAAAAGAAGACAAGGTGGAAAAATTGCACTTTAAAAGAGGACTTTCCTTTCTTAAACTATCCCTTTAACTCATTACTAGTGCTGAACTTAGATCTCAGCTAGCTGCTCATCCCAGCAGTGCTCACCCCCAAGACAATACAAGGTCCTGGATTCAACCCCCAGGATCTGAGGCAGGAAGATTGCCAAATTAAGGCCAGGATGGGCAATTTCAGAGAACATCAAAATAATTTGGAGGAATTTTTTGTCTCTACATTTTAGTTTTGTTTGTTTTTGTTTTGAGTCATGCTCTAGGCTACATAGCTCAAGATGGCCTTGAACTTTCATTCCTCCTATCTCAGCCTCTCAAGTTCTGAGATTATAGGTATGCACCACCATACCTAGCCCAAAATAAACTTTTAAAAGAAACAGGGATGTAGCCCAAGGGTATAGCACCTTGGGTTCAATCTCTAGTACTAAAAAGAGAAAGGAAAAAAGAAAGAAAAACCCCGCACCAAAAATATATGCACAAATGTGTGCATAATTGAAAATGTTCTAAGGGATGAGACTTGCCACAAACCTGAAAAACTTTATATTATTGCTGTTGGATTTTTTTTCTGCAATAAATATTTCAATCAAGAATTTGTACCAGCTGGGCATGCTGGTGCACACCAGTAATCCCAGCTACTCAGGGGGAGGTATGAAAATCCCAACTTCAAAGAAATCCTAGGAAACCCTGTAGGGAAGATCAAATAAAAAGTCTGGGAACATAGCTCAGTGATAGAATACTTGTCTAGCATGCACGAGGCCCTAGGTTCAATTCCTAGTACCACTACCAAAAAAAAAAGGTGTAATACAAACACAAATGTAAGCTGTAAATATAGTGTAATTACACATGATGAAAAAATTCCTGAAATTCTCATAAATAACCTGTAAATTGTTTTCAGAACAAGATCTCTTGGGTCTTCCAAATAATATTTCAGTCTCTTCACCATAAAAAGAAAGTCAGAAGGGCCAGGGATTTAGCTCAGTGCCACCACGTCGTCCTTGCAAGCACAAGGTCCTGAGTTCAATCCCCGGTACTGAAGGGAGAAAAAAACCCAAAAAACAGTAATCATCCATCCTAATTACATACTACTAATAAGTTAGTTTCTCTCTATCTATGAATGCTGGCAGTCTTTAGTTTAAACCTGCAGTTTTCTCTCCAGTACCTTTCAGGGTGTACATGTGAGATATGATTTCATATTTTCAAAGTAAAAGATACCAAAGAAATCTACAAATTTCTCCAGGCAATTCAAGTCTGCTGCAGAACTTGATTGAGAGGAGGTGGGGATAAAATCAGCTTAGTTCATGTAAACTTCTGTGGCCTGCAAAATAAAGACAAGAGGAGCAGTAATCCTACAGCTGGAAGCAATGGGGTGTTAGTTCAGCCTCCGCTGCAGCCACCAGCTGAGAACTCCAGGCTGGCTCCCAGACCTGTCGAAAAGCTGCCTGCGAATGATCCGACAGGCAGGATCAACACTTTTTGCGCTCCAGGTTTGCTTGTTCAGATGCAAACATCTTTCCTTTGAAGCTGACTCCACGTATCCCCCAAGCCATCACACGCATCTGAAAACGCGTCTCGCGTACAAAGCGGAGGAAGGACGACAGTCCCGAAATTTCCTGCATCTGTACTTACCTGACTTGAAGTCCAGCGGACTCCACCTCGCTTTCCTGAGGACTTTATCCGCAGACTTCCTAGGAAGCGCTGAGAGGACCAGGCAGAGCAGACAGCCATAACCCGATGCGGGGAAAAGCACCCCTCAACCTCCCGTAACTTCCCCTCTCCTGCTCGGAGCTGCGCCGCCCGCAGAGCAGGCCTGAGTCCCCAGACACCGCTGGTGCCGCTGTCACCCAGAGAGACACACCGGGGACACCCGGAAAGTACCGCCGCTCACAAGGAGTAAGCAATGGAGGACGCAGGGAGAGGGCGCAGTACCGAGGCACAGCTGCGGAAGGACGCCTCCAGCCGCCACACCCTGCTTCACCTCAACCAGGTTGTCAAGGCGACTGACCACAGACGCAACTACCCAAATCAGCCACGGCCGCAGGACCGCCTGGGAGTTGCAATCCAGCACAGCTGAGACACGGAAAGCGGAGATGATTTCAGAGTGGGCTGGCACTAGGATCCGATTGCTACTGGGTCGGGGGTGTCTTTGGAATCGCTGCCTACTGGAATTCAGCAGAGAGAAGTAAGCAGTACAACTCTTCCAGGTCTTAGCAGTTCTTCCTTAGACCCTAGCTCTGCAGAAGCCCCGCCCCGCGCCCCCGCTCTGCACGCTGACCACGCCCTCCGCTCCCG